ATTAACCCTGATAACATTTGTACTAAGTGTTACGATTATACAAAATAAATGTATGTTTTTGAATAGCTTGTTTATACACAGTAATATTTAGTTAAGTAAAGCATTGTGGAACATGGACCAATGAAGGTCAGTTGGCCAAAATGTTGATTGTATAATTATTTTATATTTACAGCAGTTTTAACCAGGTCCATTTCTTTTTTTTTTTTTAGTGGTTTAATTAAAAATCTTCAGGGATTTTCCTATAGAACAAACATATTTTGTGTTTGTCTACAATTATTTTGTTCATTGAGTTAAAATATTTACACTAATTTGTTTACTTACATCATACTCTTGTAAAACAGGTGTTTCATACAGAAGGCTTGCATATGGTGAATTCTGATACAATATCTTACCTCAACTCGTAGAATAACTTTTCCTGACTTGTACTGCCCTCTATATGAGAACATTTTTGCTTACCACTAGCTTTGATACTCCTACCTATCCTTACTGTGTGTAAGCATGCAACAACCCTGCACCAACAGGAGCATGACACAACTCCCTGCACAGCTCACCCTGTATGCAGCCTAACCCAACTTCACTTCTTGATCAGCAATTGTAATGTTTAAAAGTTTTTGTTCATGCTCTCACTTATAGAATTTTCTATCAATTCCTTATTTTATTGTTATGTTTGCTACACTTGGGTTCTGAAATTTTAGTTAGTATATCTATTAGCACGTGTATTTTATTTTAACATGTGATTCTTTGGAGCTACCTGGTTGGATATTTCTACTTTCATTCTTTGTTGAAATGGATTTTAAGTTTCATGTTCCAGCTACTACCACTGCTGTTCCTCCTACACTCAAGTTTACTAAAAAAAAAGCAATTGACTACTGTGGCTCTGTGTTTACAATTGTCAACATGAGATGTTATGGCTATGGTTCACCGGAAGTTAGCTACCTTCATGTGGGCTCCTGATTTGTCTGTGGATTCTTCTCTCATGCCTTGTTCATCTTCATTTAAGTGTGCTACATCTTTCCACTCTGTCTTCACATGTGGCTTTTGTCTGGTCCCTTGCCATAAAGGCCGGACTTTCCCCATGGGTTGATTCCCTGATTTTCCATTCAGTTTGCCCTTCCTCCATGTTAGTTTACCAATGTAAGTCGTATGTCTACTGCTGTTGGTCTTCTTTTCATAGTTTTCCTCAGTCCCATCCTACTCTCCTGCACCTAGCTTTTTGACAAGGGGCTTTCAGTGTCCACTTTCACTCCTATTTCCCTCCCTTCCATTTCTCACCTTTATTATCTTTCCGATCCGGATCGCCCCTCATGTTTTGGCTGGGCACTCTGTTGTTACATGGCTTGCATTGCTCCCTTCTGTGATTCCCGTTTTTTCATTCATTTAAAACATTACCTTTCCCATGATATTTCTCCTATGTCACTAATGGGTTGGATTTGCCAACTTATTTGCATGGTTTATTCTTCCATGTCTCCTGATGATGGTCATGTATTCCAAATCTCCTCTCAATCAAATCCATCACATTACCATGTCCCTGGCTGTCCATTTCCATCATCCATTAGATGATATAGTTTGTGCTGGCATGTTTATATGTTTATTTCATGTTATCTTCGTCATCTGGCTATTTCCTACTCTACAGTTTACCATCTACCTCCCATTGCCATCTTGAGCTCCACAGTTTCTCTAGGAGTGAGTAGATGCTTTTTTATTTATTTTTCTTCTTTACAGGAGCCTTTCTCACACATACGGATCCTTCTCAGTCACGAGAACTGCCTGACCAAGTACATTCAGGCCATTAAAACCCACCGTTGAGATGGAGTGTTCTGCAAGACTGCTTGTAGGTTTTCCTCATGGTGTTTTGTATTATACATATATATGTTTATCCCAGACAGTACACTCATGTACTACCATGAGTAAATCAGAAGGGGATTGCTCCCCGTCCCTGCCACTCCTCCTTTTGACTGAATCAGAAATGATCTGCTTTTCAAAATAGGGTTTTGAGGGCACCTATTGCACTGTCTCCAAAGCATACTAAGTTCTTCCCAACTCTCCAATGCATTTCTCCCCCTTCTTCCAATGGCCAATTGGAGTCCTTACCACTTACCAACTCCTAGCTGCTGGGATGGGGGACCATGGAGTTGTGCTCAATTCCACTCAGTTGAGAGTATGGTGGTGGTGTTCTGCTAATTTAGATGGTGTATAGACACTCCTCCTATCATGGACCTGATGTGCTATTCTAGATGCCATCTGGTTATGGACTAAATGATTTCTGTCAAAATGCAGTTCACTCTCTTGCTGGGCACCCTCCTTCCTACCATTATTTGGATGTTGGTTTTCAGAGAAGGTATTGGTTGGAGCTGGAGGAGCCACATGAATCCTCACATGTGAGTGACCCAGGTACCTTCTTCCTACCATAGACTGTACGATTCATTCCCAGTGCTATCTGGTTCTGGACTGTATGTTGGGGATAGTTCCAGTTCTTATGTCCAAGGTGAATGGTACTGATATATTCCTATCATGGTACTGCTGGTGTTGGTTGAGGTTGAACTCTCTCTTACAGTCTGCTCTTCCCTTGCCACTCAACACTAGGGGTCCCCTCATTACTTCTGGGGTCCCTCTTATGATTCTACTCTAATTGTGACATATCATATTCAGTATACCTGGCTCAGAAGTGATACAGTCTCCCATGGGTGTCTTATGTATCCTTTATTCACACACACCCTATGGGCTTCCTTTGGTCAGCGTGGGTTTCTACTATTCTGTGAGAGAAGGTAAGATATGGAATGGAATTCAACATTTTCCTGCACCGAAAATGTATTTCTGATAGTCTTACCTCACACTTCCCACCCTTCCTTCCCAATTCTGGTATCTGTTCCTTTTCTGTTACTTAATCCTGAAGTGAAGTTGGGTTAAGCTACATAGAGGGAGTCACATCATGTTCCTATTGGTGGAGGGTTGCCACATGCTCATTTGCATGCAATCATGCAGCTGCCTCATGTGAAAACGTGTTGTGGTGAGCAGAAATTCGTTCATATAGAGGGCAGTACAATTCAGGAAAAGCTATTTTTTGAGAAGAGGTAAGAATATATTGGATATACATTTTCAGTGTAGGAAAATGTTAATGTTCGATGATTCACATATCACACTAGTATTGTTTTTGATGTGTGCATCAATAAGTAAAGGGTGAAAAGAAGGAAGTTTTGATGATGCTTATCTAGTCTGCCTGGTTCAAGGATTACCAATAAATACAAATCTGTTTCAGTATTTTTGAAATCCCTTCCTCGTGTAATTCTGACATCCTGTTGTATTAAACTTGAAGGCAAGAAAACATTGTAATCGTTTTTAACCCTTTTCTGCACAAGTCACTGTGTTACATTCAAAATTGATTTAAACACCTTGAATATCAATGTATGTGAATGAAATTAACATTATAACGTATGTTATGATTTGAAGTTTTATGTTACCTAAATTTTAACTTTTATTTTAAAAGAAAACTTTAAAAACTACTTAAACTTCACATGCATTGTCATGTGACCAATGAGCTATGAAAATTCTCTACTTTGGCTCTACAATGGTAGTTGAGTAGAGGTATATTTAGACAATAAGATACTTACATAACCTTTTGACTCATTCACTTCTAAAATTCTCTGAATGAATACAGTTTAAACTAGTAATAATTTTTTTCAACTCCTTACAATTGCCACTCACACTTTCAACAAATTTGTTTCAGATTTATAGCCTACATGTAGATGTTACATACACATGTATAATCATTAGAAAGAGCTCATTTTACATTATAATCTAACCATGATATTTTGAAATTGGTGCCAAGTTGTCATCACAGAGTACATGAAATTGACTCTAGTATTGTTGGCTGCTTGATCAACTATAGCACTTATGGTTGTTTTTTACCAAAATACGTTATAGTTAGAGATACAGTTTATATTGTATTTAGGTCTTACTATTATATTTTAGTTAATTATGTATTTAAAATGCATAATTAAAAGGTTTAAACATTTTTTGAATATCCATCCTACTTTGCATCTGTTCTCAAGGCTTATGATATTCATGAAAAGGTTGCACATGTCTTCCAAAGAAACTGTAATATGCCACTGTTGATTTGTGTCGAGATGAATAATAAGTGGTAAAGGACAAGAATGGAAAATAAAACGTTAAATGTTAACTATATGCGAAAAGGAAAAGACCAGAAGTTACAAATATAAACAAAACAACATCTTTAAAGATATTCTACAAAAAAATTAAAAGGTGTGTATTTTTTTCCTAATTTTAATCATTCCATTGCATTGTATGTTGATGATAATAGCAAGAGTTAGTAATATGGCAGAGAAAATGATAAATAAATAAAATATAAACATTTACCTTAAAAAAACTTTTGATATTCATTTAGGAGGTTCTACAGATTATGCAAAAGAAATATGAAAACTTTAAAATGAAGAAAATTATTTGTATACTTAAAATTAAAATCACTTTGCCTTTGAACTATTTTAACAGTTTAATGGCAAATAACTACTATAGATAAATAACATTTTTATTAGAAAGACATAATTAAAATAATGTCATTCTTTGTGTACAAAATACTTAGAAACTATAACAATATCTTACAAGATTTGGTGAAGAATGCTCAGAGTTACCATATTTTAATTGCATAAATGTCCTTCCATAGTTGAGAGGATGGTAATTTTAATGGTAATTTTTATCCACCCATATTTAAAGGGTTAAGTGAAATTGTGTAAGGAATCACATTAATCATATCATACATTATTCAGAGAAAATCATCTGTAGTAAATACGTAAGTCGGGAGAAGTATTCATGGTACCATTTTCAATAACATTAAAGGTCAAACTTTTTAATTTTGAAAGTTTGGATAATGTTGTTTCTTTACACTAGTATAATGAAATGTACATATAAAAACTTAATGATTTTAATTAAATGAAAAACTGGTAGAGATAAGCATTTCTTGTTTTTTCCTTTGCTTTTATCTGCAGCAAAGAAAACCCCTGGTCCTAAAACAAGTATAGCAGTATATAATGAAAAAGGACGTAAACGTAAAGTCTCCCAAGGAAGTCGAGAAATATCTTCAACACTTATCACCTCTGTAGTATCAACTAGTGGGAATGGAGTCTTTCCTCCATCCATCTACACATTACCCGTTGAAGGAGGTAGTGGAATTTTAAATACCCAACCTTCTACGACAGTTTCTACTTCACATCGTAAAGATTCAGGTAGAAGTTACTCGTTCAACATTGGCTCTTTTTCTAGCCTAAGCCAGTTTCGGCAAGCCCAAGCTCTGGCTGTTTCTAGCCGAGATGCCATTTCTCCTGTGGTTTCTTATTCAGAAAATTTGTCAGATGAAATGGAAAATGCTTCCCTTTCTTCATCTTGTGGCAACTCTGTTATGTTACCTTCAACCATCTCCACTTCAGCTTCTAGTCTACCTGCTGTAAACATTTCAAGTTCTTTGCATTCCATTCTTGCTTCACCTGTTACCTTTTCTTTTCCATCGAGTATTAGAACAACCAGTGTTAATACATCATTACTAAACATGTCTTCCACAAAATTGCCCGGTGTTATTCCTAGTCTAGCTTTAAATGGAAATCCTCTGACTACATTCACCTTTCCAGCTGCCACAAGAGTCTTAATGAGTGAAAATTTTGCAGAAACACCACCTGCAAGCTCCTCAGATGTTTTAATCAGAAAAGCTTCACCAATAGGGAAAGGCCAGTCATCATTAATTGAACCAGACCAAGAGCAAGTAGAAGCAATTCAGAAGCTACAGTATCATGATTTTCCTCTTACTACTGCTTGTTTGACACCAGGAACTACTAGTAATTCTCCTGCTGTAACTCAAGCAAAAATTCTTACCAGTGGTCATTTTGACCTTACCAAGTTACAGACTTTGGCACAAGCTAGCAGTATCAGTAAAAGCATTGTCACTTCTAGTGAACTTTCCAGTACTCCTTCAACTAAACAGTTTACCCCTAAAACCATTCTGAAATCCCCAACATTGCTTTTATCATCTTCTCAAGGAACAGAGCCTGCTACTTTTCTTATCTCAGGGTCTACGAAATCATCAGCAGGCAAGCCTTTACAGCTGCAGGGGGTCATTCTCAATGCTTCATCCTCTTCTCCCTCGGCTAGAATGCAGGCAGCAACAGCAATTTCGAAACGAAGAGAGAAGAAGCTGAGTGGATGTACCGAAGTTCATATGTTTAGTAGTTGTTGTTCATCCAAAGATCAACCAGACAAAATTCACTTTGAAATTCCCACACAGGAAGAAAATCTATACAATCCATATTTATTTGATCCTGTTAGTGACAATGGTGTATCATCAACACTCTTTAGTAAGAGTAAGAATAATATAATAGAGGAATCTATAGTTGTATCTCAACATTCACATTCTCAAAATGGGGGAACAGTTAGTTTGAAGAATGATGAAACACAAATTTTATCAAATTTACAAGCAGGGCATGAAGAAAGGAATTTACTCATTTCAGAAGAAGTAGAAGAGAGAGAACATTTGCTAGGGATCCAAGTTGTGGAACCTATTACTGTATCAGCTGGTAGCAAAGACAACTCTTGCTGTCTGGCATCGGGTAAGATTCAAATCAATAACATAAAAAATTTGTTTTGCCAACCTTCTTTAAGTTGTTTTCTAGATATTCAGTTGTTTGAAGAAACAGAATATAATGTCCTTACACAAATAAATGTTCTTTCAAAATAATCTTAATAAAATATAAGTGTATTTTCTACATATTTAAACTTAAAATTGTGTAGCATTGATAAAAAATCAAGAAAAAATATCTTTTGCAACAGGTACATAATTTAAACAAACTGTTTTGGTGATCACCTACTAGTGAATCACGAAAAAAAGATTACTTCAAGGTTTAGATTAAAGAAGAACACATTAAAGATTTATCTTTTCAAAACCAGAACTTTGAGGGAATCTCTTGTTAAGCTCGTCCTTTATTGAAAACTCTACAAGATGCTTCACACAGTCTCTCACTCGCTTATATTCAGCGGTGTAGAAGAGAAACCTTACCACATAAACATTACTCTAACAATAGATCTAGTAAAGTAACATTTGGCAAGTTTTCAATTACCACAACTACACAAGGTTCTTCAGCTTCAATAGCTGTAATTTATATTACAATACACATTTCATTGAATATTCTTTATTTTACAGGGTCATCTGGATCATCCTTGAACTTGTATATTGATCATTCTGTACAACCTTTGACTAAACCAGCTGTTGATCCTTATACAAAACAAGCATCTGATGATTGTTTGACAGTAACTTCTCATGAATCATCTATAACACAGCTTTCAAGAAATTCACCATTGCCTGTTCCATATACAATAGAAACTTCCAAAGGTTCTCCACTTCCATTATTTGTTAATCATACAGAACAACCTCCAAGAAAATCTATGGTTTTAACAGTTGCTTGTTCACCTGAAACACTATGTTCTGATACTCCTTTGACTTCATATTCTGTTATAAAGCCCTCTGGTAATTCCTTAGCTTCAACATCTGTTGATACTTCCGGACATTCCCCGGCTTCGATGTATGTTGACACTTTTGCAGCACAACCTTCTGGAGATTCCCCTGCTTCAATATCTGTTAATAATTCCACAATAAAACCTTCTGAAGATACCCCAAATTCAACATTTGTTGATACTTTCACAGTACAACCTTCTGGAGATTCCCCAGCTTCAACATCTGTTGATACTTCCACAGTACAACCTTCTGGAAATTCTCTAGCTTCGATGTATGTTGATAATTCCACAGTAAAACCTTCTGAAGATACCCCAAATTCAACATCTGTTGATACTGTCACAGTACAACCTTCTGAAGATTTCCCAACTTCAATATCAGTTAATACTTTTACAGTACAACCTTCTGGAAATTCTCAAGTTTCAACATCTGTTGATAATTTCACAGTACAACCTTCTGGAGATTCCCCAGTTTCGACATCTGTTGATACTTTTAGAGTACAACCTTCTGGAGATTCCCCAGCTTCAATGTATGTGGAAACTTCTACAAATCAACCTTCTGGAGATTCTCCAGTTTCAACTACTGTTCATACTCCCACAGATAAACCTTCTGGTGATCCCTCAGCTTCAAAATCTGGTGATACCTCTTCCATGATTGGTCATTCTGAACGGTTTTCAAGTGTATTATCTATAGAAACTTCTACACTAAAACCTTTTGAGAACATATCATCCTCAGTATCTGTACTTTCTGGAGATTCCTCAACTTCAGTAACTGTCAGTACTTCCACATTACAACCATCTTTAAATTCATCAGCTTCAGGGTCCGCTGACTCTTCGGGAACAAAACTTTCTGGGAGTTTCTTCACATCAACATCTGTTAGTTCTTCTACACCATCATCTACTGGAGATTCCTTAACTGCAGCACTGGTAGTTTCATCTACAACACAATCTTTAGAAGGCTCATCAGTTTCAAACTTTAATGGTTATTCTCTAATGGAATCTTTAGGATGCTATCCAACGTCACTGTCCGTAAGTTCTTCAACAACAGTACAACCTTCTGAAAGTTCATCTTCACCATGTGTTATTTCTTCAGCAACACAATTTTCAGGAGATATGGGTACTTCCAGTGCTGATTGTTTCTTAACAACACAAGCTACAAGAAGTTTTCAAGGAGCACAATCTTCTGAAAGTTTAGCAACTTCAACATCTTTTGGTTCTTCAGAATCATGGTCCTTAAAAAACTTAATGGTTTCAAAACCAGATTCTCTTTCAAAATGGCAATCTTCAGGCAGGTTTTCAATTCACACATGTGTTGATTCTTCAATAGCAAATACATCAGTGGCTGCAGCTTCAATGTCTCTTAGTACTTCCACGACAGAAGTTTCAGGAGATATGCCATTAACATCTGTTGCATCTTCAACAACACATCCTTCAGATGGTTTTTCATCTTCATCTGTTAGTTCTTCAACGACACAAACTTCAACTTATTTATCAGATTTAACTTGTGTTGATTCTTTGACATCACAATCTTTAAGGGGATTATCATCAATAACTGTTGACAGTTCCACAATGCAATCTACAAGAAAATATTCAGTTCCTGCAGTTATTGATTCTTCAACAATACAATCTTTGGGACATTCATCAACTAAAAATGTTGATACACCAGTAATGCAATCTTCTTCAGGTCTATTGTCATCAAAAACTGTTGTTACATTACCAATCCAATCTCCAGGGGATTCTTCAATTTCAAACACTGTTGATACTTCAGCAAAACGATCTTCAGGAAGTTCTTCAATTTCAAAAATTCTTGATACTTCAGTAACACAATCTACAGTGGATTCTTCAACTACAAAAACTGTTAATACTCCTGTAGCTTTATCATCTTCCAAAACTATTTTTACTCCAACAACACAGTCTTCACGGGTTTCTTCAACTTCAAAAGTTGTTGATACTCCAGGAGCACGATCTTCAAAAACTATTGATACTTCACTAACACAATCTTCAGGAGGTTCTTCAACTTCAAAAACTGTTGATACTTCATTAACACAATCTTCCGAGGGTTCTTCAACTTCAAAAACTGTTGATACTTCACCAACACAATCTTCAGAGGGCTCTTCAACTTCAAAAACTGTTGATGCTTCACCAACACAGTCTTCAGAGGGTTCTTCAACTTCAAAAAGTGTTGATGCTTCACGAACACAATCTTCAGGGGGTTCTTCAACTTCAAAAACTGTTGATGCTTCACCAACGCAATCTTCAGGGGGTTCTTCAACTTCAAAAAGTGTTGATGCTTCACCAACACAATCTTCAGAGGGCTCTTCAACTTCAAAAACTGTTGATGCTTCACCAACACAATCTTCAGAGGGCTCTTCAACTTCAAAAACTGTTGATGCTTCACCAACACAATCTTCAGGGGGTTCTTCAACTTCAAAAACTGTTGATGCTTCACCAACACAATCTTCAGGGGGTTCTTCAACTTCAAAAACTGTTGATACCTCATCAACACAACCTTCAGGGGGTTCTTCAACTTCAAAAACTGTTGATACTTCACCAACACAATCTTCAGGGGGTTCTTCAACTTCAAAAACTGCTGATACTTCACCAACAAAATCTTCAGGGGGTTCTTCAACTTCAAAAACTGCTGATACTTCACCAACAAAATCTTCAGTGGGTTCTTCAAGTTCAAAAACTGGTGATCTTTCACCAATAAAATCTTCAGGAGGATCTTCAATCTCAACATCTGTTAGTCCTTCACCCACTAAACCACTGTCTAGTCGAAACATGGTGCCTTTTCCCACCATAGCTGCAACCAGAACAAGGCGTGTTAAAACACAGAGATATTATGACTTTTGACTTATTCTTTTAAAGCTTCAGTTGTTATTAGTTAAGAGTTATATGTTGTTATTGTGATTATATCCTGTATAATCTTTATTGTTGAAGCATAAAAATCACATGCATTTTAAAAAAAATCAAAGTAGGAAACAGAAAAAAAATAATACAATTAGGGCTTAATTTTTTAATGATATTAAACACAATTTTTCATAAAAGTTGGCGAGTTCTAACATTGTTCTATTGCTAGTAGATGATTCACTTTTGGAAAATCTAAAACATGAACATAACGATATGAAACATTTATTAAATGTTTCGGAATCTTCAAAATTCCATCTTCAGAAATTTAGAGGTGCAAAACTAACACAGTGCTACAAACAGAAATATGATATAATTTATAATAAATAATAAGTAAACGATATGAATGTAAAAAGTAGAACAAGAGGAAATGAAAAGCATGTAGTGCGAATTAAAAAAGATGTAAATCAAATGAAGAACGTGTATGATTTAGAGATGGAAGAAGATATTTTATGTAAAATGTTTCTTTTATTAGAAGTTCAGTGTCATGCTTAGCTGTTGAGAAAATTTTAAAGTTGGAGAGAGACATTGTTTTTATATTATTGTGTTGATAGTTAGCAGGTTTTATAGATTATGTCCACATGTTCAAATGCTCTACAGTCTCAGCATGTGTATAAGTATATGAGATGTGAACAGTGGGCAGTCGGTAAACCATATTTATAGTTCACATTAATTCTTCAAAGTTTTCTTTATATATGCATAGTTTGTAGAACTGATTATACATGTACATCTAGATGTGAGTGGCTCTGTTAAAGAAGTCTTTAACGTTATTGATAGCTGGAGGTATTTATTTCTTTCACAAATAGGTAAAATTCTGCTTTATAATTTAGTACTTCTCATGTTGTAAATGTTTCAAACTTCAAGTCACGTTCTTCAGAGTGGCTGCTTTAAAAGTAAGTATTTACCTTTAGTATTAGCTTTGTGTAAATAAATGTTTTAATTGTATTGTTAGATTTCATTTGAAGAAACAGCATAAAAGATAAGTGGTAATTAATTCATATTGTTTAAAAAACTGCAGTGTAATATTCACTGTTAGATTTCATTTGAAGAAACAGCATAAAAGATAAGTGGTAATTAATTCATATTGTTTAAAAAACTACAGTGTAACGTTCACTGTTAAATTTCACCTGAAGGATGAGCATAAAAGAGAACTGGAAAGTAATTTATCTTGTATAATGACCTTCCATAAACTAGTGTTTGGGTGTATATCCTTGTAATTTTTAAGTGTTTAAATTTTCAAGAATTGAAGAGTAACTGACTACTTTATTTTATATAAGCTACGAATGTGTATTTAAAAGTTTTCCTAGATTCTACATTGTTGTAATCTTAACTGTTTAAAAGATAAAACCCTCCTTTTAGTATGTATTGTAGTTATCTGTGGATATTAAATGACAGAAACCTTTTAGGCACATGTAGTTTTTATATCATACATCTCAATATTTACATGTTGTAATCCCTCATACTTAAATAACTTTTATCAATTTGGTTTATTGGAATTAAACCCTCCTAGAAAACAAGTTTCTGTATTTTCATTAAGTAACAATTTTAAAAAAGAAAATAAAAACATATTTCAGAAACTGATGTTTTTTTTGTCAACTTATTTATTTATATAAAAAAAATTAAATCTCCAAAGATGAAACCAGTATTGCTACTTTTATTGAAATATAAGTAATTTCCAGGGACAAATTTTATGTTGTTCTATATTCTTATATTCTATGAATATTTAGGAGGATATAATTTTAAGTTGAAATGAAAATAGTCTTGGAAATATTTGGTTTGCTGTTCTATTTTTCAATTATGAATGAGTGATTGAGAGAAATTTTTTCCAGAACATGGGGTTTATAGATTTAGTTACTGTTCTATAATTATTTAGTAGTAAACAAGCTCTGTTGTTGTTTTCAAGGTAAATATTTAAAATAGTTATTTGATACAGTAAAGTACACATGCTAAGATATGTAAAGAAAGAAGTCAAGTAGTTTCTACTGTAATATGTAAAGAAAGAAGTCAAGTAGTTTCTACTGTAATATGTAAAGAAAGAAGTCAAGTAGTTTCTACTGTAATATGTAAAGAAAGAAGTCAAGTAGTTTCTACTGTAATATGTAAAGAAAGAAGTCAAGTAGCTTCTACTGTAATATGTAGAGAAAGAAGTCAAGTAGTTTCTACTGTAATATGTAAAGAAAGAAGTCAAGTAGTTTCTACTGTAATATGTAAAGAAAGAAGTCAAGTAGTTTCTACTGTAATATGTAGAGAAAGAAGTCAAGTAGTTTCTACTGTAATATATAAAGAAAGAAGTTGTATACGTAACTGTGCTTGTGTATTGGTTGCACAAGAAGCAACCATGGTTGAAGTAATTCACTGGTTGAGTATTATATATTGTTACGACATCGAGGTCACGTGATTAGTATCACGCCACGTCATTCTCAAACATTCACTTCTTTTCCTTAAATCTCATGATCCTTCTAGATATAGTGTAGTCTTGTATATATAAGAACGGCCATGAAGCGACGGGGATATAATGAGTAATTGAATGTATGCGGACAGAACATTGTTGGCCACGTGAGACGTGAGTTATAGCGTTTGTTATAGAGCGACTGTTGAAACTAAGTGTATCGTAAAGTTGTATTTGGAAAGAATAAACCAGTTTTATTTAAAAAAGTCTCGTCGGAACGAATTTGCGGAAAATTAACGAACGAACGGAGACGTGACAATATTTAAAATACATGTGTATATACGCACCTTAATGGAATTAATTATAGAAATATTTGTGAAGCATTAAGTAATGCAGAAGAAATATATAAAGTATAGAAGCGTATGTAGGTCTACAGGCTTACATTAAGCTTAACCAGCATAAAAATGTGTAACTATATGTCTTAGGTTTTGGTTTGTAAGCTCGTTTGTAGAGAAAGATGTCTAGTTAATATGCTGTCATAATTTATTGGTGAATGCATGATATGTTTATTAAAAAATACCCTGTAGTATGTCACACAATTTTACAGGTTGCTTGGCTGCATGTTGAACTCCTCTTCATATAAATTCCCTCAGTGATATTTGATTTTGAACTCGGAAAGGAGTTCTAAGTGTTTCCTCTCTTGGTAGATTTTTACGATGTTGGTCAAATGATAATTGTCTTGCTGAAATACAAACCCTTGGCCAATTATGTATGTAAACTCACCACCATATTTCTTTGTAGCTTTTGTACTTCCCCCGTTTCTTTCTTTGGTTGTTACTGAAAAACTTAAACTTGGAGACATTAGGATGCAACACTACCCATTTTGGCCTCTTTTTTTTTTGGTTGACCAAATGTTCACTAAGGCTGCATTGAATTGATTTGTTTCTTACTGTCATCACAGAGAAATTTTCCCAGATTTGTAAAACTTTTTGCATACAGTAGCTGATGATACATGAAGTTGGACTTAGTTGGTCACATGGAATAACCCTCACCATATAAAACAGTAGTTGCCACATGCTTGTCATCAGATGTTCATATAGTAAGTTAACTGGAGCACTCTCTCATTGGTTGGATGGCAACCATTTGTAGAGTATTACAACAACATAATGTTCTACTGTATCGTCCAGTAGATGTGATGTACTTGGCTTGTACTGATTTTCATGTATAGTTATTTCAATTACTGTAAAATGGAAGTACACATAAACATATTTTATGTAAATCTACAGTTTTCTCAGCTGCCAGCAAATAACATATTTTCTTATGCTTCCCTTTAACTTATGCACAAGCTTGCCATAATTCGTTTTGAATATATTATTTTGTCAAATGCAGTTCACTAGTCGGTAGACATAAACATACTCATATAAGAAACTGCATTTCTTACGTAGATTATGTGTCTAAATAAAATTGCTAGTCTGAAAGTTTGGTTCTTGTTTTGTTTTTCTTCAAGACCATTCATACAGCATAATTCAGCAGCTGTGTTGACAGGGGACACATAAATTTTGGCAGGGTATTAGTCATATTCAACTAAGATGGTTTTATTTTTCTAACAAGGTGGTTGGCCTTTGGATTGCTTTTAGATGATGTAGAGGCAGTAAATTTAAGCAAGTTTAAAAAAAAGCTTGATATCTACATTAATGATGAAGGCTGGCTTTAAGTTCTTTTTTTTTGAATTTATAATAGTGTTGCGTCTCTGTTCATTTGTTAATTCTCGGTGTTACGACAGCGGAATTCACGTGACCCTGGTAACACGTAATGAGTATCTAGAATGTTCGTGAAGGCTCCAGTGTTCTCCAGACACATTCTATTTCATATATATAAGACAAGCGAGAAGTGACAGCGTAGATAGATAATTGCAGAGACAGAGACGGACAATTGAGTCAAGCGCGGTAGTGACTGTCAGTAAAGTGCGCGTATCGTTGTGAATTATAGCATGTGTTTAAGTTAAAGTGACTGTGGAAATTAAGTGTATTGCAAAGTTGTATTGAGGAAGAATTAACTAGTTTTATTTAAGAAAGAACTTGTATCGCTAAAGTTTCATCTGAAAGAAATTATATGGGAAATTAACAAACGACCAGAGACGTAACAAATTGGTGTCATAGAGTGGGACAGAAAAGAAAAAAAAAGAAGATGGAAACGAGAGGTGGCAAATTAAACTACAGCTTAGCAGATTTGATGGGAGCAATACAAGAACAGCAAAAGAAACAAGAAGAGAGATTATAGCAGTTGGAGGAAAAAGAAAAGAAACAAGAAGAACGAGAAAGAAACAAGATGACAGACAACAGCAGTGGTAAGAAAACCTGAAACAGTGGCAGCTTGAACAACAAAATAAACAACAGAGATTACAGCAGTTGTTAGAGGAAAAAGAAAAGAAACAAGAAGAGAGACTACAGCAGTGGCAAGAAAATCTGCAACAGTGGCAGCTTGAACAGCAAAATAAACAATGGAGATTACAGCAGTTGTTGGAAGAAAAAGAAAAGGTAACAAGAAGAGAGACTACAGCAGTTGTTGGAAGAAAAAGAAAAGAAACAAGAAGAAAGATAACAACAGTGGCAAGAAAATCTGCAACAGTGGCAGCTTGAACAGCAAAATAAACAAAAGATTACAGCAGTTGTTAGAGGAAAAAGAAAAAAAACAAGAAGAGAGACTACAGAAGTGGCAAGAAAACCTGCAACAGTGGCAGCTCGAACAGCAAAATAAACGAGAGATTACAGCAGTTGTTGGAGGAAAAAGAAAAGAAACAAGAAGAAGGAGAAAAGAAACAATAAGAGAGACTACAGCAGAAAACCTGCAACAGTGGCAGCTCGAACAGCAAAATAAACAAGACAGATTACAGCAGTTATTGGAGGAAAAAGAAAAGAAACAAGAAGAGAGACTACAGCAGTGGTTGGAGGAGAAAGAAAATAAACATTAAGAAAGTCTCCAACAATTGAGGGAAAGCCAGCACACACAAATGGAAAATATTAGTAAATTTCAAAGTGAATTAAATACATTAAAGGGTGATTTACTGTCTTTTACACAAGGAGGATATATTAGCCATAGACCTAATCAGCCTCAGACAATGGAAAGCCCCTTCCAGACCCTGCAGCTAAACCCTAATGCAGACATCTTCATTTCTGCTAGAAGTCACATTCCAGTCATGAGTGTCAGCAATAGGGGTGATCTACTACAAAGAAAGCCACAGGATAATCGAGGGGAAGGCACCATGGGAAGCATATAGAGCACAATTTGAGCTTTTGGCAGAGATGAATGGATGGATAGAGGAGCAGAAAGCAGTGTACCTGGCAACGAACCTGAAGGGACAACCACTGGAAATACTTGGACAGTTGTCAGCAGACGACAGGCACAACTAGTAGCTGCTCTAGAACTCAGGTATGGTACCCAAAATCAGTCTGAACACTACAGGGCTAGGTATAGAACGAGAGTCCGTGCTAAAGGGGAGAGCCTGCAAGAGCTGGCACAGGACTTGGAAAGTATGGCACACAAGGCCTACCCAACTGCACCACCCGATGTCCTCAAGCTGTTGCTTAGGATCAGTTGTAGACACCTCGGACAGTCCACAACT